CTTCAGTCATGTGATAACTCTTCGCTCGCGCGGGGCGGGGCGGGGGTGTTTGGCGACGTAGAATTTTTGTTTGGCAAGGACCATAACTTTATGTCAGCTAACAGGGAGTGTCCATAACAAGAGGTTCCACTGTATGTTTCTTAGTTAATGCTGCAATTTAGTTACATCAACTATAATTGTTTTTACCTTGTCGTTCTCATCTCTAAGAAGAACAAATCTTAAGCAGTTGAGGACTGCCATGACTCTAGAAAGAGAGGAGTAAGATGCCTCTTAAAACACAACTGAACACACGACAAAAAAAGAATCATGTTTCATCGATAAATTAAATAACACGATAGATAGAACAAAACTGCGCAGGTGCTTTCAGTAAAAAACCTAGAACGTTCCGCATTGAATTCACCAAACATTCAAAACTCTTACGGCGAATTTCGCGGACGCAGTTTTATAGCTTTACGTAGCAGGATTTCGTCGTCATTTATCGGTTATTTACACGACGTCTAACCGAACTGCGGTTTTACGCAAGCAGTGGGCCTTAGGTATTCTCTATGAGAGGGATGATTTAATTAAATAAATGCCCCTCCAATGTTATCTTTTGGCCCTCTAGTGGATATTGTTCACAAAAATAAATGTTCAGATAAGAGACTCAGCTAAAATAAAGATAGCTTAGAATGGGCTTTAAGAACGGCTAAACTTTGTTTAAAGAACCGGCCCTATCTGATTGAGTCTGACACTGTCTCACTGACAACTGTCCTATCAACTGCTTTGACAAAATTGACTATACTTCACTCGTATACTATAATCTCTGCTATCCATAACTGAAACTGCGTGAAGCTATTTTAAAAGACCCCAAGAGAATTTGCCTTGTCGAGTTCTCTTAAATGATCACTTTTAACCGCAAAGAAGCTAAATTCATAGGAAATAGTCACCTATCTGTTTCCTGTACTAGGTCCTTGTCGGTACCAGCTCCTGGGGGAGGCTTAAAAACTAACTGTAGAATTGACATAAGACGGCTGCCTTGGAACCACAGTTCATCATCTGATGTCTAAAAACATAAAACCAAATAAACAGTTCGCCAAAAAGTCGCGAGTTAATTTCTAGAGAAATCAAGAAAAAGCTGTGTGTTTGCGCAGTCGCGCTGGGCACCAGTGATACATTTTACCCTAACGTTGCAAATTTTATTTCTGGAAAATATTCTATGTTTTAGGTCCTCAAATAGTACCTTGAGTTTGTCTCTGGTCTTGGGATTGTTTGGTCTCTCGCACGAAAGGGAGCAATAGACTTTACTTAGAAGCATCTACAATGATACAGTTTGTTTTGAAAATCAAAGAAGACAATAAAATAAACTTCAACGCTTACACTTAGAGCTTGGTCAACTTGCTCCTTTAAGAGATAAATCAAAAGGCCTGCCACTCCAGGATGAGAGCAATCTTGAAGAACAGTGCTGAAAAACAAAACAATTTGAAAAAAATTATCAATTTAGATGGTAAAGTAGATCAAGAGACAATGAAGTAAACTGTATCGTGGTAAAGCACGTTTTATTAAATATATGTAAACTATTTTCTTGAACAAAAGCTCATCTTTCAAACCGGC